CAATTGAAACATCGATATTGCAAGGGATAGATGTGTGAGTCTACAGTAGCTTCACGAAGTCGCGAATTGTAGGGTATCCCTTTTTTCGTTAGATTTCGCGTTAACTAAAGTCCCAATAAGATTGTCCAATATTTTGTCAACACCACACCAAAAACCCCTTTCAAGAGTTTACAGCGCTCATAAACATTAATAACTCTGCCAAATTCAGACTCAAAGGAGATCGTGTCCACGCAGGTTGAAATATGGCTATGGCGATCGATGCTCACGATTTCGGTGTGTGGTCCCGATCCTCATCTGGTGTTGCAATTGTGACGCGTCCTAAGGGACAATCATGGACGGTAAGGTGAGTGAGAGTGTGGAGGGAGTGAGAGAGAGTGTGAAGCTCGAAGGGATCAATGGAGTAGGAGAGGACGGAGAGAGAGGTGAGGGTGGGGAAGCGGCAAAGGGAGGAAAGGAAAGACTGGAGCTTTGCGGAGCGGGGGGTGAGGGATTTGAGGGTGGGGGTGAGAGAGGAGGAGGAGGAGGCGACGGAGGAGAGAGTGGGGGGTGCGGGGTTCCAGAGAGTGAGGGAGGTGAGGGAGAAGCAATGAGTGAGGGAGGTGAGGGAGGAGCAGCGAGTGGCTGGCTTTAATTTTGAGGTATGGATGAAGAGAGAGAGGGAGTGAAGGGAAGGGAAGGCATGGAGAGGAGGGAGGGGGTTGTGAGTGGCATGGCGGTAGATGTTGGGGCGACGACGGGCGAATGGAGAGTCCAGCGTCAGGAGCCTGATAGGAGGGAGGAAAGAACGGGTGGGAAGAAAAACGAGTGAAGAGAAGGGAAGGCGTGGACGGGAGGGAGGGGGCTGTGAGTGGAATTTTAGTAGATGATGGGGCGATGGGCGAATGGAGAGTCGAGCTCGAGAGATGTCAAGAGGCTAAAAATAGGGGGTAAAGAATGGAAAAGAAGCTTGAACGAAAGGGAGGGAGAGATTTGGGGGGAGGGGGGGGGAGGGGGAAGAGGACGAGGGGAAGGCCGGCTAACGGGGAATCGAGCTTGGGGGATGCCAGGACGCTGATAGGGGGAGGGGAGACAACGGGAGGGAGAAGAGGATGGGAGGGGTGAGATAATGCGAGATGTTTTTTTTCGGGCTCGTCTCAAACGGTCCCGATTTAGGCGATGGGTTTCTGAGGCGCCTCAATAGTATTTTTGGGCTCATTTCACATGCTCCAAAGTTGGGCAATGGGCAAAGGGGTGTTCGAGCTCGAGAAATGCCAGGAGGCTGACAGGGGGAGAGTGAACATGAGGGAAGAGAGGATGGGAGGTCTTTTGAGGCGGCTCTAAAGCCAGAGATATCCGATAGTGGGGAAGACAGAAAATGAGGAGGAAGGGGAAGGAAGAAAGGAAGAAGGGAAGGGGAAGGAGGAACGAAGAAGGAGGAAGGAGGAACAAGGAAGAAGGAATGAGGAAGGAGGCCGGAGTAAGGAAGAAGGAAGAAAGAGAATAAGCATAAGGTCATCCCTTTGCGAGCTTCGACCATGGATTATCCATTAAAGGGATGACCTTCTGTTTTTTGGTGTCTCTCAATATAAAAGAGTCTCAAGAGTGGTGGTCCGAGAGCCCAGCAGCAAGAGTCACAGCAGCAGCAGCTACAGCAGGGACAACAGCAGCAGCAGGGACAGCGGCAGTGGCAGGTACCGCAGCAGGTTCAGCCATGGGGGCCCCCGTAGCTGTGGGGTCCACAGCAGCACTGAGGGCCCCCGCAGCAGCGGGGAAATGGAGGACCAGGGAGCACTGGCCACAGCAGCAGCTCTCTCAGCTAGGCCCCCCGCCCCCTTGGGCGCGACTCCGGCCCCTACGACTACTGGATCCTCACGGGTCCGGACAATCCTTATATCTACAAGCGTGGTGACCACTCTGCAACGCGATGCTTCTGCCACCTCGATGCCCTCACGGGACAAGGTCATGCGGGACGCGCCTCGCGATAGGTACAGCTCCTAGCCCATAAGATTCCTGTATTTGAACTGTCTATGGATAAGGCTCGTCAATATGCTCTGTATGCCGATGTTGACTATAATGCTTATGGATCTGTTTGCTCGTGTGTTCATGGATGACTATCCTTGTTCGTTGGTAGTGCAGATTTTTGTCTTTTTAGTCTAGGTGCTTGTGTTGCTGCACTAGGTGTTTGTGTAGCTACCATACCAGGTGCACCTCCGGCTAAGGCATCCCTGTCCTTCACGTTGGACTCTGGCACATCTCAGTGCTTCTTCCGCGACCACACGGCTCTGATACCATCTCAAGAGTGATGCATAGCGGAATGTGTGAGTAGGAGGAGGGGAGGGGTACAAGTCAAGTGTCGAGACAATCATGTAACCCCCTACTGTGAACCCTACTATAGGCTAGAAATCTACAAAACATATATGCAACATTTGACAAGGAGGTCATTAGGTGAAGCAAGCGTCAAAAGCAACGAGGAAGAGAGAACCAGCACGCCCACAAGCATCCCTTTGCGAGCTTCGACCATGCGCTGTTTATTGAATGACCACGCGAGTGTGTCTCAACATGCGATGAAAGGAATGACCTTTGCTTGAATGGACGGCATGGGTCAAGCGTCAAGGGCAAGGACGAGATTATCCGCACACTCACGGGTATTGATTTGCTAGCTTCAACCACGCAGCAGTGTTCATATTGAACAACCCTCACGTCTCGATGATCTTCAATGTTTCCTGTTTAGGGCAGGCAACACTGATACTCGCCAACAGCGCACTTCCCTGGCTCGACAGAACCTCCATGGTCAGCTAAGTTATCTGTGTAAGTACCCTCGAAAAATCGTCGAAATATTCGAGCCATCTGCGCACGTTCGGATACTTGTAAGGTGAGACGAAGTCGAGGCGGAGCGAGTGCGGCGTCCGGCGCAAGAGGCGGTGGAGGCGGGAGAAGGAAAGAGCAACGCTGCGGCAATCGCAGGGGTGGGTCGCATGGGTGAGAAGCAACAAAAGGATGTCGTCCAGGAGCGGCAGTAGGCGGCTGCCGTTCGTATCATCCTTGAACGGCGTCTCCCGTCGCGTTCTTTTGATGGTGGCAAACTATTTGCGAAGGGTAACAATTGAGGTTGAGGTTGCGATTGGACATAAACTTCAGCAGATGCGGCCTCTCTAACGCATGCAAGAACAGACGAACAGATGGTACTATTAGGAAAAGATAATCATCTAACTTGCTAATGTCAAATGTTACGTCTACTACAGTTTGTTTAGGTTGTAGTGGGGTAGTTGCTATGGGGTACAGTAAGTTACTGGTTTCCTATTTGTGCCCAACTCTTTCCTAGTGCAATCACTCGTTCATTTTGACATGGTATCGGAGCCTAGGTTGCCACCTAGGACCGCTTACTCCTACGTGCCCACTATTCCGCTAGAAGCGCCCTCGTGCGCCCTACCTAATGTGCGCCCTCGTGCGCCTTTCTCTGCTCGTGCGCCGTCACGCGCCCCGCCCTTCGTTCTGCCTGCGCGCCGTCCTGCAGCCCTCGCGCTGCCTCCTGCTGCCCTAGGCCAGTGCGCCGCCCCTGCAAGCTAGTAGCGCCCTCGAGCCGCTTCTGCAGGTCCGTCAGGCCCCCGAGCCGCCTCTGCAGGCTCGTCAGGCCCCTGAGCCGCCTCTGCAGGCCCGTCAGGCCCGAGAGCCGCCCCTGCAGGCCCGTCAGGTCGGCGCGCTGCCCCTGCATGACCACGCCGCCCGCGCGTAGCTTCTGCCCGACCGCGCGCAGCCCCTGCAGGCCCTCGCCAACCGCACACAGCCTCTACAGGCCTGTCAGACCAGCACGCGACCCCGTCAGGCCGCAGTCGCAGCCCCGTCAGGCCGCAGTCGCGGCCCCGCCAGGCCGCAGTCGTGGCCCCGTCAGGCCGCAGTCGCGGCCCCGCCCTACCATGACGCGGCCGCGCCCTGCTACTGACGCGGCCGCGCCCAGCTGCTGACGCGGCGTCGCCCCTGCCCGCCGCGTCGCCCTGCTCGCCGCGTCGCCTCTGCCCGCGGCGTCGCCCCTGCCCCCCGCGTCGCTCTGCTCGCCGCATCGCCCCTGCCCGCCGCATTGCCCTGCCCTACCCCGCGCCGGGCCCCTGGAGCAGCCGCCCCTATAGCAGCCACCCCTGGAGGAGCCGCCCCTGGAGCAACCACCCCTGCAGCAGCCGCCCCTGACCCTTGAAGCGGCTGCCCCTGCAGCAGCCGCCCCTGGCCACTGGAGCAGCCGCCACTGCAGGAGCCGCCCCTGGCTCTTGGAGTAGACGCCCCTGGAGCAGCCGCCCCCGCAGCAGCCGCCCCTTGCCCCTGGAGCAGCCGCCACTGCAGCAGCCGCCCCTGGCCCCCGGAGCAACCGCACCTGCAGCCGCCCCTGGTCCCTGGAGCGGCCGCCCCTGGCCACTGGAGCAGCCGCCACTGCAGGAGCTGCCCCTGGCCCCTGGAGCAGCCGCCACTGCAGCAGCGACCGTCGCGGCCCTGTCTTTGACGCTGTAGCGGCCCCGCAGTCGCCTCCGTCATGCGCCTGCCCCTCCCACCACTGGTGAGCACTCCCCTGCCCCTGCTGCTACTGCTACTGCTGCTCCTGCTGCTCCTGCTTCTACTACTGCTCCTAGCGTGGCCAGATGCAGCTCTTGGGCCGTTCGCGTCTGTCCCTCACGCCCCAGCAGCTTCATGAGTGGTACGCCAGTTGGGGTTGTCGAGGTGGCAGTAGCGGGAGTCGTCCTGGAGTGGGTAGTTCGGGAGCTTCTTGTAGTGGCCCTGTGCAGCAGCAGCGTCATCCGCGAGAGACTCTTTCGCCCCAGCAGCTTCGTGAGTGGTACGCTCAGAGTAGAGGGTTGCTGGGTAGTGCTCGGTGCCCGTACGTTATTAGCACGGGTGTCCGGACTGGTCAGCCTTGCGGGACGCATGGTCACACAGAGTCCCGCTGCTTCGCCCGTCTGAGCGACGCTTGGCGTACAGAGTTTGGCGACGACGCTGAGCTCCCCGACTAGGTGGAGCTGCTTACGCAGAGGGTATATATCTTTGCTCTTGACTATGATGCTATTCTCACTGCAATGTATGCGTTGTCTTCTAGTGCTGAGGGAGCCTGTCACCTGTGTGTGCCGCCTGACCCCGATATCCAGTTTGCTGCTCCAGGTGCCGGTGAGGCTGCCGCTCTAGGTGCTAGTGCGTCTGCTGCCCCTGGTCCTGGTGGGGCTGCTGCTCTAGGTGCATGTGTGTCTGCTGCTTCGGGTGCTTGTGAGTCTGCGCCTTCAGGTACTGCGCCTACTGAGGCACTGCACACCTTCACACTGGACTCAGGTGCTTCCCGCTGTTTCTTTCGTGACCGCACTGCCCTCGAGCAGCTCCCTAGGCTGGTTGCTATCTCCCTGGCTGACCCCTCCGGGGGTCCGGTCCTTGCGACCTCCATCACTGCCCTCCCTTCTCCTGCTGTCCCGTCCGGCACACTGTCGGGCCTTTACCTCCCCTCGTTCTCTACGAACTTGGTGGCGGGTTCTGCGCTCTAGGATGTGGGTGTTCACCAGTTCACCCCTGCCTACGAGCGTGTGACACACTGCACGTGTGCCCAGACTGGTCGTCACCTGGCTACCTTCACTCGGCAGCCGGGGTCGGACTTTTACACACTGACCACTGAGTCCCCTAAGGTAGCGGCGTCTGCGTCGGCGTCAAGTCAATTGTCCGCCCCCGGCTCGTGTCGCACCCTGTCGCACCGAACGGTCCTTTGGCACCAACGCCTTGGGCACCCTTCGATGCAGCGCCTTCGTGGCATGCACTCTCGTTTCCTTGTCTCTGGTCTCCCTAGGTCACCGCCTCCCCTGCCACCGTCCCCTGCCCCTCCTTGCCTTCCCTCTGTCAAGAGGCGGCAGTGTGCCACTCCTCACTCCTCTGAGTTCCCCCCGACGGAGGCTCCTCTGCAGACCCTTCACATGGACATGTGGGGCCCAGCCCGCGTCCGTGGACAGGGCGGAGAACGCTACTTCCTACTTGTATTTGACGACTACACGCGTTACACCACGGTCTTCCCCTTGCGCACCAAGGGAGAGGTCCCTACTGTCTTGATCCCTTGGATCCGCGCTACTCGTCTCCAGCTGGAGAGGCGCTTTCGCACGGACCTTCCCGTCCAGCGACTGCACTCTGACAGAGGTGGTGAGTTTTCCTCCGGCCTCTTGGAGGCCTTCTATCAGGGGGAGGGCATTGAGCAGACGTTCACGCGTCCAGCCTCTCCTCAGCGGAATGGGGTTGCTGAGCACCGCATTGGATTGGTCATGGAGGTCGCTCGTACCTCCTTGATCCATGCGGCTGCCCCCCATTTTCTGTAGCCGTTTGCGGTTTGGTACGCCGCGCATCAGCTCAACCTCTGGCCCCGTGTCTCCGTTCCGGAGACCTCGCCGACACTGCGTTGGACGGGAGCGGTTGGCGATGCATTTGTGTTCCGTGTCTGGGGATCTTGTGCCTTTGTCCGCGATACGTCCGTGGACAAGCTCTCCTCCCATGCCGTTCCTTGTGTCTTCCTGGGCTTTGTCCTTGACGCGCCTGGCTGGCAGTTTTACCACCCCACCTCGCGCCGTGTCTTCCCCTCTCAGGACGTCACGTTTGACGAATCGGTCCCCTTTTACCGTCTCTTTCCCTACCGCACTGCCCCGCTCTTCCTCACGCCAGGTGCTGCTTTGGTAGACCCCCTGCCTCCCCAGGTGTTTTCCAGGTAGACCCGGTCGAGCCTGTCAAGGTAGCTGTCGACTCTGGTCCTGCGCGAGGTACTGAGCGTGCTGAGCCTGAGCGTGCTGAGCCTGGTGGTGCTGGGTCTGGGGGTACTGCGAGTGGGGGTGCTGAGCCTTGGGGTGCAGAGACTGCGGGTGTTGAGCCTGGGGGTGCTGAGACTGGGGGTGTTGTCCTTGGGGGTGCTGAGTCTGGAGGTCCTGAGCCTGGGGGTGCTGCGCGTGGGGGCGTTCTCTCTTCCCAGCAGCTGCGTGAGTGGTACTCTCGGTACTGTTGCCGCCGCCGTGGTACTGTGGGAGCTGGAGGTGCTACTGGAGCTGGAGCTAAGGGCGCCGAGCCTACTGGAGTGGGTGTTGATGCTGACCCTCGGGTTGGCGCTGGAGGTTTGGAGCCATTGGTCCTAGAGGTGCTCGTACTGGCGGTACTGGAGCTGCTGGGACTGGGGGTGCTACTGGAGCTGCTGGAGCTGGCCCTGTTGGAGGTGCTGCTGGTGCTGCTGGAGGTACTGGAGCTGCTGGAGCTGCTGGTGGTGCTGCTGGTACTTGGGCTGGTGCTGCTGGAGGTACTGGTGCTGCTGGAGGTGCTGGTGCTGCTGGAGGTGCTGCTAGTGCTGGTCCTGCTAGAGGTGCTGCTGGTGCTGCTGGTGCTGCCGGAGGAACTGGAGCTGCTGGTGGTGCTGAGCGAGTTGGAGCTGCTGATGGAGGTTCTGGTGCTGTCTCTGCTGGTTCAGGGGGCACTTCACGGCCGCAGCTGTACTTCGTTCCCCTCCTTCAGCAGGTTCTTGGTCAGCCGCCTCCTCCT